AAAAAAAAAAACTACTATTAAATTTATTAAGGTCATTTATGTACGGTTCTGTAAAGTTTTACATATAAAATTTCTAATAGTAAAACGCTCCACTCACCTTCACAAAGTGTTAGTTCTGTATGATAACAAAGTATGCAGTGGTAGTTCTTGAAACTTTCATCAGAACCGGTAATGACAGGATTGTTGTACGCTATGCAGGCATCTCTTAAGGCTGAGTGCAGGGGGCGTGGCCGAGGTACAGGATGCAAGCTTCCATTGATTAAAGTCAACTTACAAGGACCAAAGGCACGGTCCTCAACTTCCCGGAAGCATGTTCTTAAATTCCATTCCGGTTTTGACACGAAAATACCATTACAATTGAGGTCCTTTAACTTTCTTAAAACACAATCCGAGGAGCTGCAATTTGCAAAGTCGTCAGCTAGTCCCCTATGGCAATAGACAGCAAGTTCCCACGGTTCCCAACCGTTCTCGATACCATTACAGGTTGCACAGTACTTGTTTCTGAAGGTGATCATAGCATCTGGGTTGGTGACTGGCTGGTACAAGAGCGCGCCTTCTATGAGACTAGTACCTGAGATGTTAGTGCACTTCATACGACTTTCCTCCTCCAGCCAAGACGACGGACACTGGTCCACCATCCAAAAGCTCAATCCAAATTTGTCCATATGGGGTAAACCGGTTTGTTGGTTTAGTGGACGTAATGTTGGACTTCTTCTGCAAGAGCTTTGATGTGCCAGGGAAATAGACGCAGGGTCGAATTGTTCATTTTTTCTTACATAAGATGATGTTTTGTTAGGGGATGAAGTGGAAGTGGTACTGTTACTTTGAGTTTCTGTTAAGTTGGTTCCAGGAAACGTTAGGGAATCGGAGGTACTTTGCGCCCTTATTAATCTGACAGACGCACCGCACACTGCCGTATTTTTTGTAAATCCATAACAGCAGTCTTTATACAGGAAACACAGAGGGTCGCATTTGCAGTGGACCTTAACGTTGACCTGCTTCGATCCAGTTCTGGCACAAAGCCATCTATACGGCGTGAGAGTAACGTTTGGGAGAGAAGAAGTTCCCTCCGCTGTTTCCGCTGACTCGGTGCTGTTTGCCGATCCCTCGCGCAGTGAATCTTCTGGATGTGGAGTCCGCGGTGTTCCCTCGAACATCCTACCCTTTGTACTGGCCATGAGAGATTCTTGTGTGATTCCATCGTGGATTCTACCGTCACTAGTGGGCGACTCTTGTGTGGTACCCATGTGAATTCTACCCTCAGTAGTGGGCGAATCTTGAGTGTTTCCATTGCGAATTCCACCCTCAGTAGCCGGCGCCCTTCTAGTGGTTATTCCTTGCATTCCATCTCTAAGATTTGATGATTCCCTCGTGAATCCCCCAACCGTCCAAATCTCTAAATTGGGCGACTTTTGAGTTAATCCGACAGATTGACCAGTCGTCGGCTGAACAAAAATCAGAGCACAAAAAGTAAGGCAGATGATCATCATGTTGCTGAATATAAAACAAAAAAAGTGCATTTGCAGCACAGAAATGACGCACATCAGCTTTTGCTGGCCATTTATACCTTCTCCGCCCTTCCTAAGAGGCAATTGGTTGCCGCTGAGCAAGAAATAACCTAAACACGACGGCGGTCTTGCATAAGTCGTGAGGTACACACTAAACTAGCGTGCATTGAGAGCTTGTTAACAAGAATACTAAGAGTCACGATAGGTCATGTCGCTGTAACAGTCACGTTTATTGGGATAATTAGTTTGTTATTTCGACTACTCCACGTCAACAAGAGTTCCAAGGGTGGGGGAACACTGTCGTCTTATTGATCGCCCTGTGTGTTTTTACACGCGGCATATTACGTTGGAGAATTCTAGTAGCGATTAATTGGGACGACCTCTAAACAAACAGGTGGAACCGAAATGGTAGTGCAAGTGAATTGCAGCGTTAGCGGAAAGTATTAGGGTCTTTATATGGGACACAAATGTTTTGAATTTATCGTTTTTTTTATGCTTGTGGTGATGAATTTAAATTAAGAGTAAAAAAACGTACAGCCGGCGTGACAAAATTGAAGGCCCGTGTAACAGAGTCCACTCTCCATTTACATATAGGCCCTACGTGTACGATTAATGTGATGGCAAAAAAAAAGGCACCTACATATCACCAACAGCCACAAGATATCTTATGCATATAATTACCAACGGGAAGTAACTTAATGATAATAATTACTTCGGTAGATGCATGGTCGAACCTTTACAGACTTCATTTGGTAAAGCACTTAATAATAGAAAGATGATTCAAATTTCAGTGTATCATGGTTTGAACGCTTTGGAGCGTGGGTAGGATTTATTCTGCTGAAATTATAAGTTCTTATCTTTATGCCTTTGATCAATCACCGTGTTTAACAGTTCTGGTGCTGAGTTAGTACATGTAATAATGGTAATTGTTCACTTCGGTGCAATGTTTTTCAGGATCATATAGATTTCGCCCCCCACCAATCAACGACATTTTTATTATTATAAAGTAGTCGCCTTTTTTTCCAAGTCAATGGGAATTTTATTATTTTTCCCTACGTCAGCGTCAAGATGACTACCAATGGCGGTGAAAATATCCTGCTTACATACATTGTACATGTTTATATATATATTGTAGGTCTTCAACAAATGTCACAAACCGCTTTTTTCAGTGTACGGCACAATAGTTATGCGGTGCACTTTATTTCATCGGCTGTACACTCCCAGAAGATCTCTTTTCTAGTGTTATCCATACCTCATCATCGAGGGCACCGAGTAAGCCACAACTCGCCTTGACCTCCTGACCTTTGACCCCTTGAATCTGTAAAATTAGGATAGTTGACGAAAGTGACCAAAGCCTTGCTAGCTACACCAGTCAATGCGTCGACTTGTTATAACACGACTTCTTCAAGAACAGGGGCGTAACCAGGCATACGCACGGATGCACTGTGCGTACAATTTTTGAGCCAACCATGATATTATTCTCCATAAATTCAGTGTATTTTTCACGGAATATAATCCTGGGAATTTTCAAAATCTGTGCGTTCAATTTTAAAAGGTCTAGTTACGCCCCTGAAGAATAAGTTTTTTTGTTATTTGTCAAAACCCCCTTTACTCTGGACGGCGTCCTTTCTGCGTCTTTTGTGCGACCATGAAACAAGCATCGCTCTGGTCGTAGAAAGGAGGCACAAGCAACGCTTTGGTTGCAGAATAAGTGCTCAGTGATCGGCCAGTTATCGGCAAGTAAAGTATTATTTTTTTACTCTCAAACGGGGCCATGCTACGGGACGCAGAAAGGACGCCGTCCAGTGGAAAGGGGGCTTAAGCACGTTATTCAGTTTTTGGCTACTATTTCTGAATTTCACCACATGCCAATGCTCACGAACCTGAAAGCTCAGCAGAATGTTCGCCAGTGCCGTAGTGACTTCTGCGTAAGCGAAACGGTACCCAGGACACTTCCTCTTGCCGGCAAAACCAAAGGGTTGAAAGGAGTAGGGGTGACGCTCCGACACTTTCTCCGGGCTGAAACGATCTGGATCAAACCTGGAAATTAAATGAATACCTCCAAGTGCAAACTCTGAATAGATAAAAAAGGACTAGAATATGATATTTGTTGATAAAAAGTGCTCAAGTTCAGAGGTGCACTCGATTTGAACCCTGGTCATATACAAATCACATATTGCTGTAGATGTCACATATACGACTCAGATATATTATTAAATATAAATTTTAATGCACATTAAAAACGGTGAATTAAATTGTGTTAGTAGGATAATGGTGGATATATGTAACTATATAATTCATAAATGCTTACTCATTTGGGTTCGGCCAGCGTGCTGGATCATTATATTCCACATTAATAGCTTGGATGATTGGTGTCTAAAAATCATAAAATTTGGAAAAGTGTGTATAACTGAATTCTACCTGTAGCGGTCAGACACTTGGTTAGGTAAAGTTATTTTATTCCTATTACTAAAATTTTCATCTCTATTTCAGGGGTAGAAAAAATGAGTGAGAATGGTGAGAATGTAAATGACAGAGAAACCATACACTGGTATTCGGCTATGGAAACACTGTTTTTGTTTTAATTTTGGCGCCATAGCCTGATATTCAGTGACGTGTCACAAGTAAAATGACGCAAGAAAACATGAGAAGAAAGACAGATTTAAATCTCCAATTTCGGGACAATGCAAATGTTTACACGGTTACATCTTTCAGAAAAATAAATAAATGCCCAACGCACCTCACAGAGAATATGTGGCGTCCATAAATGAAACTGTACTATTCACAATGACGTAAGAATTTACTTACCCCAGCTGGTATGACGTAATCTCCAAGTTTGACGTCATTATCATCGTCAAAGCGGGCTGCGTAAGGTGCAATCTTCGCTATGCGTAGTGCCTCGTCAATAACCTGACGGGTGTACCTAAAAGTTTTAAGCAATGCCCATTACCTTATCAGCACTAATATGGTATCATATATAATAATTCTATTTGAATATAGAAACGACGCCATATTTTCTCTGTAAAACATCAAGTCCAGTATATGATACATATCCATATTGTTCCGCGTCTCTATTTAAAAAAAAGCGAATTGTTCCGCAAACACTTACACTAACTGACCAATGTTATCCGGAGTTATTTTGCCTGTGTCACCCAATATGTTCTTAACCTCTTGGTACATCTTTTCTTGCACATCAGAGTGGGCAGAAATAAAAGACAGGGCCCACAATAGCGCTGGAAATATGTATTATGATGTAGAAGATATAAAAAAATTGACGTACATTTTTTCGTGTAATTGTCTTTGTATTCAGTGGTATAACTAGTACAGTAAATAATTGTAGTCTGTTAATAATAAATAAAAGGCGTCAAATTATTTGAATAGTTTTGTCATCCTTTCTGAGCCCCTTTCTATAAACAGAATTCGCTTATTCTCTGATTTTGTTTTTAGAAATTTTACATTGTGTGTAAGGCAGAATGATTTAATTATTGACAAAGAGATCAACCTACAATTTGCTGTTGTATGGAATCCTCCAATTATAAACATCAAAACATCACATTGCATGACGTCATAAGGTATATTGTTCTCAATCATGACGTCAATCAGCATTTTTCGTTTCTCAGTGGTTGGGCGCTTCCGTCTTACTTCGATCGCTGCCGCAATGGTGTCATACATGTACTTTTTCGCTGCAACGGGAGTATCATAGTATAACATATGACAGGAAATTGGAGATATACAAAAGCACGTTTATTTTGCGTTGCAATAACGGAATACATTGATGACATTAAGTGTGTTTCTAACCTTCGTTAAATATCTTTTCCCTCTCACTCCCCGGCTGCGGAAAATCCTCCTTTAGAAATCTTTGTTCCATATCTGACCAACTCTGAGGAAAAAAGATAAAAGGTAATTCCAGGCTGATTTAACAAATGAATATAGAAATAAAAATTAAATTGCCCACTAGAGCAAGAACTTGCAAAACTACAATACAAGAACATTGCATCAATGGGACGAATATTGTAACGTTTTACAGTTTTAATTGGTGGTTAAAATTGCTAGCCTTTTGTTTTCATTTGTTTGGGGTAGACCTACGTATAGTTATACACCGTAGCTGAACTCTGAACACCGTAGCCGTTTCTGTTTAAAGACCAATCAATACCGAATATCTATTAAATATGGCAAATCAGTACAAACTGTAATCTAAATGTCAGTTCACGCGACTTGATGAAATTATACATCCAAAATTGCAAATTACAAAATTCTTTAAGAATTGTCAATGGGCTTTGCCAAGCTAAATTTTCCAACTTTCAGGATTTCTTTTTACCTATAGACAGTAAACATGATCCTTATGAAAATCAATATGATTCTTCTTAGAACTTTAAGCAATCTACAAAAATTTGAAAGCAAGTCTCTGAAATTGTGGCTTCCAATGAGAAATAAAATAGTGACCACATACGAACAAACAAACAAAAAACTAGCAAGCAGACCAAAATAATTGTGATATTTTTGCAAGTAGTTAATCATATGCATAGGGTACAAAAACATTTGTATAACCACAACGGTATTCGAAAAACTTTGGCTTTAGCCATATTGTTCCTGATTGGGAACCGAGTCTTACGAGATTATAGACTAAGAAGCAATTCAAGTATAGCTTACAGTATTATATGATTCCCAGAACTTGAAAACTTCTTCATCTTGAAAAAAGAAGTTTCCAAGAGAGCTCTGCATAACTGCCTTTATTGCAAACATGAACATCCCCTGGCGGCAAGGAACGTGTTCACCATGTGGTATTTGTGACCATCTCCCCACCATTTCCTCTGAAAGCTATGGCGATTGCATAAAAATGAGAAAAAAGAGAACATATATATAATTTTAAAAAATATATATGAATGGAATTGCACAGGAATAATAAAACACGTTTAAACTAACTAACAGACTATCGTTTTACAGTGTTTTTTATCATGGTACCTCAAGATAGACTTTGAAGTCATTCTGTTGCTTTGTGCAGCAGTTTTGAAATACCCTCCAAATGTCTCCACATCGCGCAAAAAGAAAAAGAAAAGACGACGTGACAGTTTGGCGCTTTTGTGGAGTTTTCTTTTGCTTCTAGCAAAAGATTCAAAACCATAGAGAAAGTAAATCGTCCTTTCTATCGATCAGCTAAACATATTTACTAATGAAAAACTGATGTGAAAATAAATAAATCACCTTCTGAAGCATGCCAATGGATTTCATGACATTATTATGGCTGTAGCATGAGTCGTATGTATTTCTCCTCCATTTGCCGTCTTCCTTGTTTGCATACTGAATAGCCTTCTCAGTTATTATGACCTCCAGCATCTTAAAAAGAAGTCCTGGGAAAAGACAGTTAATTCGTAAAAGACCACATTCAGGCTGAAACATTGTACATGTACTAGCTGTGTCGGTTCAGCTCTGCGGGGAACTCTCGTTCAAGAATAATCGTGGAATCAACTTTATTGTTTGACACGCCTCCTCGAGCAGCTATGGGTAATTAACCATGGCGCGCTGATTAAGCTGATTTCACAGATTGCACTTTAGCCGCAATCCCCCGCAGATTTGGACCGACACAGTTAGTACGATGTGTGTATCTGAGAAAGCCCTAAGGTTTAAACTCGCACTCAAGAAAAAGAAATGGCCCAAGTCACAAAAGTATACATACTATCTTTGGTTTGACGTGTTATAATCCTTAAAATGATCAGACCTTAATAAAACCAACCACTTCAAAGCACATGTGTACGTAAGCGAGAACAGCTCGAGAATATATAAACTCGTGTCTTTTTATGTTCAACATGTAAAAAAAAATTTAATAAGGAGAATGGTATCTATTTTCAGACTAGGAAAAGCAACAAAAACCGTGAATCACTTAATCTGGAAGTGGAATCGCCGGTATTTTTCTCATGAGGCCTGTAAATTTCATGAAAATGTGTGTTCTGAAAGATCTGCACTGTCCTCTGCTCTGAACATTGCACTTTTGCTAAACTAGTTCCAAGTTGTGCTACTAAACATGAAATATGGAGACCCATTAAACAGATTGCCGCTTAGACGGGGTTTTCCGCAACAAGCATTCAAGTGGGTCGCACTAGTGCACCTGATTTGGTCTTAAAGTGCAATTTAAGAAAAGAACTGAACTGCGGTGCTATTTGATCTAGGATCTGTTAGTCGGTTGATATCAATGCGTTCTGTTTTATCTGAATAATGATTGGTATAATATGTTTCCCCAACCAAAATGCATACATTCATTAATTAGGTATAGAAGTGTAGAAAACTAAACTTGCATCATTTGCACTTAAAGAGAGAAAGAAAGAAAGAAAGAAAGAAATATAGAACAACAAACAGACAAATTAACAAGATTTAAAAAATGCCAGAACGATATTTTCACTTTATTACTTACCAGGTCTGTCAAACATACGGGAGGTTTCTTTGAACAGTTGAGGAGAGGCGATGCTGACCACCATTTGTTCTCCAAACCAGAACTTTGCTATGGGTCCATACTGCTGATGGAGCCACAGCAGAAACCCATTAAATCCACCGTGTTTAGTAATCAGATCAAGGTTTCCGTGTCTGGAGGACAACGAATTGAAACATTAGAAATACCTGCATACAACAAAATCCGTTACTTGTCATTCTCTTATACATATAGCGCAACAGGGTACCCAATATCTACAGGTTACAGCTACACGTAAATAAGGATACTTTAATTGCCATTAGATATGCACAATTTGAGGAATCCATAAATCTGCCAACCGTAATGTCCGATTTGTAAATGGTGGTGCGCAATATCCGGGCACTTACTGGGCATGGCTGACCTTCAGTCCTGGGATGTCTCTGCCCGATGTATAAGTACCGCTGCCTGAGACCTGCAAAAAGAACGTGGTTAGAACGCATACATTAAGTATGTTTCAATATGATTGATCATATTCAGTTCTGTAGCATCCACGTGGAATATTTGAACATGAACAGGAGAACCAGTGGCGGATTTAGAGGGGGATTTAGAGGGGGAGTCAGGGGGGTCCTTCCCCCCCTTAGATTTCTGAAAAAAAAAATCAAACCAGTGGTTTGATAAGCTGAATCATACTTCTTAACAGTACCAAATGGCACCGTTCGTCCTCTAAAATACCAAAAAATTTCGGGGCCATTTACCGGTCCCTGGGCCCCGGGGCCCAAGCCAAGAAGGGAGGGGGGGGGGGGGGTCAGGCGGTCGGCTTGGCATCCGCGCCCCCCTTCCAAATAATCCTGGATCCGCCCCTGAGAAGTAATGTAATAGTACGTTTCTTTCATACCATTACTATTCATTTTTAGATCAGACCGCCAGTTACATCGTATCACCACGTCGCACGAACCTCGACAACAACACAAAAGCCACGAGATATTTAATCCGAAAACCAGGTTAAACTTATCTCAAGGTTTTTACCTGTACACATAACATGGACCGTGCTACAAAACACTATTCACCTGCACGTTCGGGCATTATCGGGTTGTCTCGTGTTACGTCCGGATGAGCCGATATGTGGTGCTAAGCCAAACCATAGTACGATTATTAGGTTGATATATTGTTTCGGGTTTCAGCAGGTTCAGATTTACGCTCATTGGTGCACTGAGATTGCCTTGTATTGTGGTGTCTCTCATACAGGAGCAGGCAACTGCATGCCTGAGAGATAAAACAACCAAACTGCTACATGTTTAATCACATATATACTATTCTTGTACATTTTCTACTTCTTGTTTCATATAATGAATCTTAGCGCCACCTACAAGAGTCCACCGTCCTAAATTTCTCAGGAATGTAGAGATCCATAAAGCATCTTTTACATCCATGTAGTCTGCTAGCGATCTGAATGGCATTAGAACAGACAGTGTAGGTACAGGGGTATTAAATATAGCGTTGAGATATTCATTTATCTTACCTTCTTTTTTATAACCGACAAAAACGCAAGCAATGCCAGGAAGGTTACTATCACCACGATACACAGCGATGAGATATCCATCTCTCCTTTGCATTCGCATAAGTTGAAATCGGTTTCGGTTCACCAGCAAGACATTGATTCAATACTGTGTAGTAAGTAGGTCACGAATAAAAAACCTTTACCGTGCGGAGAATTGTATTGTGGGAAAGGTTACCCTGAAGTGTAAAGGAAAAACGGGATTATTTATGAAATGGAAGGCAAAGTGAACGATCTTCAAAAACAAATTACTGAAACAAAAAAAAAGAAGATGTTAAATTTATCAAAGGGTTAGCTTCTTCGGAAGAACTTTTATGGTTTCTTGTATCTAGATATTAATGATACACTGTATGTACTATTGGGTTCAAATTACCTAGACAGACACGCCAAGAGAAAAATGAACCCTTTAACCCTTTCTTAAGACTTACAGGACGAATTACTTTTCCTCTTGAGCAGGCTAGGAGCAGGATTACAATAAGAGTAACTAGGCTTCAGGTATAAGTTACTGGTTAAATGCACAGCAAATACCGGCAGTGCTAATATGTTGTTATATATACTATTACTAAAATAGTATCTTGTGATTTTTTTACCTGTGTTCAGTTTGTGCAGTAAAAAACTTATTACAAGAAAGCCACTTATCATTTATGTTGTGGAACTGTAATCAAATAGGGCTAAAATCATTATAGATAAAATCAACAGTAAGTCTGTAATGAAAAATCCCCGAATCCCTTTTGTAGTACTTTGTTCAAGTGTTATAATATCATTAAAAGCATGTACATGTATATAGCTGTCCTGGTGCCTGAGAAAATCAGAAAACCGAAAATGATGTTTTATGCCCCCCCCCCAAAAAAAAGCCAACATTACGTCACACGATGAACTTGGAGCTGTGTTTCAAGCATAATACTATGTTTGGAAGATACATTAAGTGCATGCAACAGGAATGAAAAAAGTTGAGGACTTTAATTTTAGATAAAATACCCAACCTGATGTTCTACCTTAACTGTTGGGTTTGTATGTTTTGCATAGGGGCCTACAGCAACAACTTTTTGTACATAAGGGTGTTATAACAAAACTATTTTTTATCTTTTCAGGATAGGAATAGCAATAGTTGCCAGGATTTGCAAGACATATTTTGAGTTGATGCATTTTCACTTCCGGCAGTTGTCCATCTGCATGGTCATCAACAAAAGATAAAAAATGTCACCGTTTTGATTTCTGTGGTGTTTACATGTTAAACTACGTCATAAACGCACATTTCTTTGTTCAAGAATCATTCAATATGGATGTTGGCTTTTGAGAGGAATTATAAACTGGGGGGATGGCCGGCTTTATCAGCCTTTACCGAAGGCCCAAAATGCATTTTACCCGGTCTGCATAAAAAGTTGGAAATTTACCAATTTACTAATTTAGCACACGGAATAAAATAAAGCAGAGGTATGAACAAAAAACAAAACTCTATAATTATTATATCTGATCTCCATGAATTATTTAGGTTAGTATAAAAGAACAGCATTAGTATAATATCATCCCTACCAAATTATGTAGATAGACGGTCCCTTCATAAAATCATATCTATATCGATAGATATTAAATCTTTTATGATCTCCACATTGCGTAATGTATGATGATGTAGTAAATCAACGGTCTTTGACAAGAAAATAGGTCGATGTGTATTAACTGATTGTATTTATGTTAATCATTATGATACATCGTCAATTTTGATATAAAAAGAAGGCTGTTTCTCAGAATTGTCATTCCAATCTTCTGGTACCTAACATAACTAGAGGATCAGAGAGGCGATACCGCCTCCGAATATTGTACCACCAGCTGGAGCAAGCGCATTCGTATAGACCCCCACATACACAAAGTAAGGGACACAGCCACCAGTCTTGTGCTTGACAAGCTGTAAAAATGCAATCAACAAGAATTTTCAAAATATGCAAAAAAATTTTTTTATTTTAAAATGGTACAATCAAAGTTAATTCATCGTAAGGTAGGTCAAAGGTCAATTTCAAGGTCACAGTAAATTGCCAGTATATGACTTCCTTTTCAAGTTTAATAGTAACTATGGACCTATCTCTGCCAGTTTTGGAGATAAAAGGGAATCAAAATTTGCAAAGTTCAGTTCATGGTGAAAAGTAGGTCAAAGGTCAATTTCAAGGTCACAGTAAGATTGCCAGTATATGACTTCCTATTCAACTTCAATAGTAACTATGGACCTATCTCTGCCAGTTTTGGAGATATAATGGACTAAATGTTATAATTTTGGAGTTACCATAATGTGCCATAAATTTC